ATTCTGTTGTGACACTAAACATCATAGAACTAGAAAAAATTGGGTAGCTCAACTGATATGGAAGAAGATACTTGTCACCAAAAAGAGCAAATGACAGTTGTTGCTTTGGTAATGAAGCAGTATAAGATGTAATCCATTTTCACTCGTGTGGAAAATCCATCAAAAATGAAAAAAAAAAATTATCAATAAAAAATTGGTGAACATATGGTAGATTGACCGACACATTAGGACAATGTGGAACATTTTTCATATAAAAAGCAAAGGAGTTGATTTGGAAAGTATTGAAACCAATATGAGAAATAGGCAAACTTTCAACAATTTTAGGCAACCTATCTATCTGAACTGTCAAACGAATTATGATTAGGAAGATTGGCAAGATATAAGTTATATGAGTCGAGACACCACTGTTAATTATCTAAGTTTGCTAATTCGAGGAGCCTAAAGATTTGGCCACCATAGTTTCCACATCCTCCATTCAAGTTTTTTGTGGCAAAAAAAAAAATAATAATAATTTTTTTGATATCTGTACTATCTATTCATTGCCGAATTTTAAGTGTTGAATGCTGAAAATTTTAATTTGCGGACTATTTGGTACCCAATTATATTCAAGTGTTAAATTGAACCAAACTATTTAATAACTAAATAGAACTGAAGTTTGAATAATAAATTAATTTTTAGTTTTACCCTTCCACTTTTTACATTTAAAATATTTATGAAATATCACTACAAGTTATGAATCATAATCACTATTATCATATTATAGTATACATTTAAATACATGATAATAAAATTAATTCAAGTTAAATTATACAAGTACTCTTAGCTTCTTGTAATTCCTAAAATTCAAAGCAACCTTACTTTCTTGTCATTTAATTTTATCCACGTCTGTATAACTACTTCTGATTTTTGACGTAATAAAATTCACTACTCTCTGTGTCCTTTACTCACAAAAAATACTGCACGCAACATAATATAATGGGTCACTCATTCCCAAAAGTTGTATCTCAACCAAAAATACGATTACATTCTTCCATACTCGACCTATCAACATTTTACACTGCCTTAAGAGTTTCAGATAGTTTTTCATTAAGGTCACCACGTTAGCTTTCTTTCTTTTTTTTTTTTTACACATATTGGCTTGTTTTGTCACATTTTTTTATGAAGAAGATGTCCCAGCATATTTGAGATTAAGATTAATCAGTATTTGTGACTGAGAGTCGACCACATCAGTAGGCAACCCTTCATTCGATGGACCCCAAGAATTTTTTATGTTTACTCTAAAATCATCAAACAAAACTTTTAACTCATTTGCATACTGTAGTCCATTATAGCGAAATTACTTTGCATCTAAATTAGCTAGTGATATAAAAATTTAAAAAAGCTCATAAATTGCCTTTTAGTTCTATAAGAATAATTAACATTGAATAAAGCAATACATTTATGTACTTCTCCCATTCTATTGAACTCCAATTTATAATATTCGTTTTTAGATTGTAAGCATTCCTTGTTTTTGATATTATTTTTGACCAAATTTCATATTTTATTCTTAGATATTCCAACTGATTCTTCAATTGTTTTTGGGATAAATCAATATTCTTCTGCTCCTTTAAAGCTACTCTTATACAATCTAGATTATTTCTTTTGATTGCCTCCATTGTTTCCTTTATCAAATAATTTTTTCACACACAAATCTATGAAAATTTTAAGCAATTTTGGATCCTTCCAATTTGTTCTATCACCATCACCATAAAATATCGCTACATAACCATTTTTTAACAAAATATCAAACAAGGTTAGATGTGTATGGTATTGTTTAACACAGTCAAATGATTATCGTGACCTACCGGAATAGTTAAACAAAATAAAAAGAAATTGATGATAATTAAAAGTATTGAAGAACACAAGACAATTAACCTTAATAAATAGTTGCTCATTAACACTCTTCACAAAAAAAAAAAAAGTAAATTGAATAAATAAATAAATAAATAATCTAGCACAAAGAAAGAATTGAAGAATAGACCATACCTGTTGGACCTCATTGACAGACAGTGGAGGCTAGGGAGATTGATTGTTTTGGATAAAAGAACACTTCAAAGTTTTAATATGATTGTGAAATATTTTAGTGAAATTGGGGTTGAGTTCTCGTATATAGACTTATAATGACTTGAGTCTATTCTAGAAACTTATTTGGTGTTAAGTCTGTTTTTTTATCTTACTAATAAGTGATTAAGTCCACTATTTTTTTTAAATCTCAAAAATACCCTTAACAGTTTTATTCTGTTCAATTATAGAAACTTTAAAGATCTTAAAAGTAATTTTAAATTAATTTCTTAAATTAGAAATTATTATCCCATAATTCACTCCAAAATTGAAATCCAAATTCAAATTTTAAATTGATTAGATTCAATAAATACCTTTTCGATTTTACTATTCGAGTTTATTGTGGATTCCATTGACAAAGTTATAGTTGATTCTTGGCATTCAAAACATCTTCACACCTTTCGGATTCAAAAATAAAATTAGTGTATGTGATTTTATGGGGAAAGTTGATGTTCGTTGTATTTCAATAATTTTCAAACAATTGAAATCTCTCCCCTCCTCCAGTGAAATCCCACCCTTCCGTTAACCTCGACAACTTTTTACCCTTCCAGTGAAATCTAAACCCCCCTCCTAATACAGCCCACCCCAAACAAAACTATCCTCTCTTCCCTTAGTTAGTGCTTTGGCAAAGAGAAAGGAAGGAAAATGGAGATAAGTAAAGGCTAAGGGTATAGAAGTAATTTTAAATTTTATGTCTAATTACAGTTAATTGAAATATTAGGGGGTAAATTGTTTAATTTTAAATTAGAGGGACTTAATTGAAATAAGACCCAAAGTTTAACGGGACATTTTGTAATTAACCCTAAGTTCCTAGGCCCAATAAGATTATATAAAAAACCCACTCTCTAATTTTATTTCTTATTAGGTCCCTATTGAAAGGTCAAAGGAATAGATATAAATAACGCTCTTTACAATTACAAAAAAATAACAACAATGACTTCACTTAATTTAAACACATATTCTAAGAAACTATATTATAATATTATACATTTTTCTCTATAAATACAAATTGTAAGACAAATACACACAAATCTTAAGACAAGTACATTAAAAAAAATAGGTACGTAGTTAATATATATATATATATACATACGCACACACACACACACACACCTTTCAGATATAAAATAAAAAGTAGGTAATAAAAAAATATAAAAAATAGTAGGTATACAATAATCGTCAGATAGGTACACTAAAATATAAATCGTTTATGTACATTCTCTTCTATAAACACAGATCGTCAAACATATACACTAAAACATAGATCATGGGTCAACTAAAACAAAAATCGTTAATGTACATTTTTATCACTAAATAGGTACACTAAAAATACATATCGTTAGACAGATACACTAAAACACAAATTGTTAATGTACCTTCTTCTCAATGAACACAGATCATTAGACAGATACACTAAAACATATATCGTCAGACATCATCATAATGTCCAAATAGTTTGGTTCACTAGTTTGAAGTTCAAAACTGATAGACAATACCAAAAAAACATAAATAACAAACGGCAAAAAAAAAAAACTAACTATATTTTAAGCTGAAATCATGTAATGAGAGAAAAATAGGTAAAGAAAATCAGTAACTAACTAGTTCCTTAACATTGTCGCCAACACAGGGACCACTACATTCAAATTTTTTCAAAAACTAGATGACTCTTTTTTTATACTAAAAATTCGATAGGACTAAAATTAGTTTACATACCAAACGAGGAATTCTAGCCTAATTAACTACTAAATCTACCCTCTCAAAAAAGTTCTCATGCACCTTGATCCTCTTAATTATCTTTCCACAAATTACTTAAAAATGTGTTATCGATCTTTATAAAAAAATTTTATTACTACTAATTCAAATTTGTCTTATATTCTAAATTTGCCCCACTACAATATTTTGCTAGCTCAGTCCTTGGGGGGTTCAATTACATGGAAGACAACTCAGAATTGAGTGCATAATTCAAATTATAGACCCACACCAATACACTGTTTAGTGTAAATCACAAATAGCACACATCTTATAGTTGACTCTGAGAAAATCTCGAACTACTTAGCCAAATTATATGACCCATTGTTTCTCGACGCCATGATTTGATCTGCATCTCATCTCATGGTTAATGTAGGCTGTAAATAAATGACATTCAATTTCATAGTCGATACTACAATACTCAATCATGTTGCTACAAAAGGAGAATGTGAACGAAGCTGTGTTGGTTAAGTTCTCTATTCCTCTGGGGTGAATATTGATGGATAAGTTGCTGCTAACATTAGAGGACCATAAACTACTTTTTCGCTCGGGAATTTTTTAGTTAAATAGCAGTTGGGGAACCAGCATATCGACAACTATGAACTACCATTTGCATTTCGCCACCAACTATATTAAATCAAAGATACTAAATTAAAGTCACTGCATAGGTCAATTTGAAATCCATTGTTTAGTTTTCTACAATTGTAGCCTAACTAAAATTAGAAAAGTCTTTTCTTTTTTTTTTTTCTAAACCCTTCATTTGGAGCCTAAAAACATTGTTTCATCTCCTTTTCTCGCATCCACAAATTAACCAGTAAAAACTTGAGATCACCCACTTCTCTCTCTATCTTCAATTCTCTCTCTCTATCTCTCTCTAAACACACGCAATTTCATCAATTCTCATATCTCCTCCAAGGGCCAAAAACAATTCAATTCCCTTTTCTTCAACCTACAGCTCAAATCCAAAAGGTACATTCATCCATACCCCGATATACACAACTGTCATCGAACCGGCTTGAACCATGGTCCGTGCCATGGTCCTGATATGGGCCTGTTCTGTGCTTTTGGCCATGGTCAATCTCGTTGATGGCATAGGTGTGAACTAGGGCACTCAGGCAACACAAAATCTGCACCCAAGTGTGGTGGCTCAAATGCTTAAGGACAATAAGATCAATAAGGTTAAACTGTTTGATTCGGATAATTGGACCGTCAAATACTTTGCCGGAACTGGCATGGAAGTCATGCTTGGTATCCCAAATAGCCAATTGAATCGATTTAGCGACGATTATGACAATGCCAAGGACTGGAAGGACAATGTCACCAAACATTTGCATGATGGTGGTGTCAATATAAAGTGAGTAACCTTCGCTAACAATCATGGTTTAATATAGTGACTGATTTGGTGGTGTCCATCTCGGTACCTTCTGTTTCGAGATGTATACACTTCATGTGTACACCACATCGGCGATGTCTCAGACAACTTGATCTAGTCACGATGTCTCAGAAAACTTCTAGTTGTCCGAGTTAACATCAGCGAATTACAGTGTACCCAATGTACAATGCCGCGCTATGGCCACAATTATTGGTCATATTTGACTTCTTCTTCTATCTATTGCTTCATGCACGTTCTCTGATGCTATGATCGATGCGTCTCAATGCCTTTGAGTCTGCTGCTGATATTGCAAACTCGGCCAAGTTCTCTTGTTTGTAATTATCATTTTTTTTTCCTGATTTCATGCATTTTACAGGTACGTGGCTGTTGGCAATGAGCCATTCTTGAAATCTTACAATGGCTCACATCTGAAAACTACCTTCCCAGCATTAAAAAACATTCAGAAAGCTCTTGATGCAGCTGGTGTTGGAGACAAAATCAAAGCAACCATCCCCCAAAATGCGGATGTCTACGACTCTGGTTCACAAGGCCCATCTGCCGGTGATTTCCGATCGGACATAAGGGACCTTATGATCGATATAGTTCAATTTATCAAAGACAACAATGCCCCATTTGTCGTCAACATATACCCCTTTCTCAGTCTGTACGGCAATCCTGATTTTCCTGTCGAGTTTGCTTTCTTTGACGGTGGTGCAGAACCTGTCAATGACAAAGGTACTCAATACACAAACATGTTTGATGCAAATCTTGATACATTATTTTGGTCACTCAAGAAGGCTGGTGCACCGAACGTGAAGACCATCGTCGGGGAGATCGGATGGCCAATCGGATGGAAATATAAATGCCAATGCCAAAATGGCTAAGAGGTTCTATGATGGATTCTTCAGGAAAATGGCTACAAACAAAGGAACCCCACTTCGCCCGGGGCCAATTGAAGTATATCTGTTTAGTCTAACAGATGAGAATCAAAAAAGTATTGCCCCGGGCGACTTTGAGCGCCACTGGGGCATTTTCAGGTATGACGGACAGCCTAAGTTCCCGACGGACTTCACCGGGAAAGGTCAGGACAAAATGCCAGTTGGAGCAAAAAATGTACAATAACTACCACAGCAGTGGTGCGTGTTAAACAGTGACATAAAGAACATGAGCCTGGTGCCTGAAAATGTTAACTATGCCTGCTCATTGTCCGATTGCACAAGCTTGATATACGGATCAACGTGCAATAAACTGGATGTTCGTGGGAATGTCTCGTACGCATTCAATATGTATTTCCAGATGAATAATCAGGACGTCGAGGCATGCGATTTTCAGGGTCTGGCCAAGATTGTGACTCGAAATGCCTCACAAGGGGACTGCCTCTTCCCTATACAGATTGTAAGTGATGGAAGGAGACTTACCATGGTAACTAGAGTGAGTGTTCTTGCAGGATTGTTGACCTTATTAGCATTGTTTTAGAATGTCATAAGTTTAAGGGAGTTCAATGCAACATGAGATCACTTGATCAAAAGAACTATAGTCTTTCACCAAGTTGACAATAATGGATTATAGCAACTTGAAAAATTTTGTTTTCTTTCGTTTTTCCCCAAGTAATATCATATTTTCCGTGATTTGATTTTTCTCATTGGAGATTCCAACTTGCTCTTTTATCCCAACGCTTCACAGTTCTGATGGTTTCAATTAATCTCAAACTAACAATGCTAATGGTTAGCCTGTTCCATGGTTTTAGTTTATCTTTTCGGTAGTTTCCGCCTCTCCCCCTCCCCCACCCCCCCCCCCCCAAAAAAAAAAAAAAAAAAAAACCAACGCCCTTCTGGTAGCCACTCCTCTAATAGTGATGTCACTCAAATTTTTATTTTTTTTTCCTGTTAATGGCAATTTTTCTCCTCAATAAAGAAACTTCAAAAAAAAAAAATACCCTCTTCCCCCCTGCTTCTTTCTATTCTTTTATATTGTCTCAACCCTTACTCTTCTCCCTCTGCCTCTTCCTCTCGAAGTACACACTTACAAAAAATCAGAGAAGAGAATATTTTGTGTAGCAACAAAAAAATTGTGACGCCTCAAAATTTGGGGGTCCTATCTCAATTCATTGATCACCCATCAATTGGCGGAAGTATTTGTGAATATTGTATAACTCGACAACATGTCATTACACCCCCTTCATCGGGATCTTAACCAAAAACAAAGAGTGGGTAGAGACTTTCTTATACCGGAGCACCACCCAACACAATTAGTACAGATATTAACCACATGACCATTCCAAGATCTAAATCCCAATAATTAGGACATACTATTATCCATTTACATCATCCATAGAGGATCGTTCGAAAGGTGAATGCCCCTCAGTGTCACATTTTAAAAGTTTCAAGTTTTGGGAGAACCGGTATCTGCCATAAATGGTATCGGTACTTGAGCCTTCTGTTTGCCAGGTACCGATACCTATGTGACTTGGTATTTGCACCTGAGCCCACTATTTGCTATGTACTTATACCTATATGTCTTGGTACTATCCATCGGGGTACCGGTACCATGGTCTAGGTACTAGAACTTGAGCCCATTAAAATCTAGGTACTGACACTTGTAAACTTAGGTACCAATACTTGAGTCGTCCGACAGCGTGGTACTAGTACCTATGAGTCTAGGTATCACTACTAGAGCCAAGTATTCCCAAATTTCCTCCAACTCTTAACCTTTAGCCATCCAACCTCATTTTATATTCATTCAAACTCATACAACATTCATTTACGTCAAATTCATTATCCCAAAGAGGTTCATTACATGTTATTTTACCAAAATTAAAAGTTGAATCACATAATATATTACAAAGATGAAATTTAAGAGTCACAGTCCGGCTCCACCATCGACATGGGCCCAAGTGAGGGCCGTCCACTGGTGCCTATCTAACACCTGAAATATATTCCCATAAAGCATGAGAGTTACGCTCAATGGGTTATCTTCTAAAAAGGTTATTCCCCAACTCAGATGCATATAAAATGTCACATGAAATTCAAAAAATCAAACATCCATTTAAATAAAATGAAACTCATGTCTATAGTGCAAACCCGAACCCTCCACCAACTTTCACAACACATGTCATGACATGCGTATGCGTCTAGGAATTCCAAGCTCCCTCCATTTAGGTTAGACATCTAATAACTGGGTTGAGATGAGAATTTTTCCTTCTCTGATATACTCAAAGACTGGGTCAATTTGGCTAGATGACTCTTGATATCTTCAATATTTTGTTAAGTTTGAACTTTGAAGTCATTAAATGCATGGGTAGTCAGAGTATTGAAACTCATTTGACGCTGAATGAACTGGTTCATGGTGTCCTTTAAACTCCTCTTATGTGGGGGTTGATAAGATTGAGAAAGCTGTTGAGTCTATGGTTGTAGGGAAGGTGGACCTGGTGGCTGGCTCACAGGTTGTGTATTTTTTTAACTGAAATTCGGGTGATTTCGCTACCCTAGATTATAGGTGTCATACTAGGGGTTGGAGTAAGGCTTGCAAAATTTGAAATGACATTGGTTTGTTCCATCAAGACTTCTTTGAATGCTGGAATGTTGGGACATTCTCCCGTACGATGTCTAGACAATGAATAGATTCCACATAACTGCTCAATCGAAGACACACAACAACAAATTTGTTGTGAAAAAGTGATTTTTGGTGGCAATTTTAAATGTTTCTCACAGTAAATTTTTTTATGATATTTTTGGCGATCATTTTTTGTAGTCGTCGCCAATAGTCTTCACAAAAACGTTCCCTCCAAAAAAAAATTGGCGCCAAACATTGGCACTAAATTTTAATTTTATGGGTGACAACAAAAATTGTCCCCAAAATTATTTTTTGGTCACAAAATTTTTGTCAAATAACGAAAAATAAGAAAAAAAAAATACTTAACGACCATACATGTTTGTCGCAGAAAAAAAAGTTAAAATTATTTTTGTTTGGTGACAAATGATGTTTGGTCACAGAATATGTTAAATGAACTGTGCACTTTGATGGATTAAAACAACGTTGTTTTGGAACCGTCATTTTGGAACCCTAAATTAAACCCTTATCTTCTTCTTCGACAAAGGAATCGGCTAGCCCCCACCTTGTCCCCTTTCTGTTCCCTCTCTGCTATGCCAAACTTTGTGAGTCTCTCTCTCTCTCTCTATATATATATATGTGTGTGTGTGTGTTCTCTCTTTGTATATCGCTCTGTGTGTATATATATTCTCTCTCTCTCTGTATTGCTGTGTTTTTTAGGTATTCTTTAATGTTTCGATTCTTCGATTCTTGTTCTGTAATTTAAAACTAGTGGGTTAGTTTTGGTTTTAGTGATTTTTAGGGAATTTGTCTTACTCCAGAACTTCATTTGTTTTAAGGAATTTGTCTTGCTTCATTTGTTTTAGCTTCCTTTTGGATTTGTTTTGTACTTTAATGGATTCGTTTGCTTGTGGATTCTTTAATGTTTCGTTTATACTTGCTTGTGGATTCATTTTAACAGAGTAACCAAACAGAGTGTTTAAGCTTTATTTTCTTTTTCTGTGTTTTCCATTAAACCAAACAGAGTGTTTTTCTCTGGAATATTGATTTTTTGCAACTAACTGATGCATTCGTTGTAGGACATTTACCTTCTAATCTGCACTTTCTCATTCTCACATAGCACAAGGCGCTCAGTGTAAGCAAAACTAGGAAGATAGTCTTAGCAATCACTATCCAAATCCGCTTGTTTCATTCACTAGTTTTCTTGTGGTTAGTCTTTACAAATTTTGTTGATGGCCTATCAAGTCAAAAATTTTGTTTTCATTCACAAATTTTGTTGATGAATTGACATATCTTAACTTCATACTACATGGACATGATTGTTAATCACAACTAACATGGTGCAAGAGATATACACGACTAGTGGTGTTGTTGTAACAGCGATATCCTTGATGATATAAAGTAGCCCGAAAATACATATTGATTAGATTGAAATTCCAATTTATTTTTGTTATGTAATACAAGAAAGGGATAAACTTAAACCAACTTAAACCAAAAAGGGTAAAAATCATAATTGGTCTATGAAGTTTGTCTTTTATTTCAATTTGGTCCTTGAATTTTTAATTATTCTAATTTAGTTCCTCAAGAATAAATTTTGTCTCAATTAAGACCTTTCGTCCATTTCCACCATTAGATCAACATTGAAGTAGATTAGGTTGTGCAAACATGTTGTTGATTTAATGATAAAAATTGACAGAAGGACTTAATTAAGATGAAATTGATAATAAAGAGACTAAATTAGGACAATTGAAAGTTGAAAGGACCAAATTAAAATAAAAGGTAAAGTTTAGGGACTAATGATGATTTTTACTCCGCCAAAAACACAAGACATGAATAATTTAGAGACAGATGAAATAAGTTTTATAGGGAGAAACATAATTTAAACATTTGGCAGTAAGTCAATTAATAAGGTAGACAAAAGCATTGAAGATTTCACCCCAAACTCTGAAGATAAACCAGATTGAGCCTTAAGAGTTAGGTTAGTTTGCACAACATGATGTGTTTTCATTCAGAAATCCATTTGATCGAGAGTACAAGGACACAATGCGTGACGAACACCATTGTCAGTCAAGTGTTGTTTGAATTTGGTACTATTATACTCACCCTTGTCATCAAATTAGAAGGATTTAATTTTACAACTAACATTTCACATAAATCTTGGATTGAAGGAAATAGTGAAATGTCTAGTGTCTAAATCGCTGTTAAAAAAGTCATGAATATTTAAAATAATCATCAACAAAAAGAAGATAATAGTATATACATCGACCGCACAAATTCCAAAAAACTTCATAGGACAGACAAATGTAACTGAAAAGGCAAATAAAAACTCATTAGCAAATGAATCTTTTTTCCAAAAGATAGGAAACACAAAATACACCATCTGTAACTGAACCAACAATGCTAAAGAAAAAAAGGAACCTAAGCCAAGAAGAGGGAATTCTGTTGTGACACTAAACATCATAGAACTAGAAAAAATTGGGTAGCTCAACTGATATGGAAGAAGATACTTGTCACCAAAAAGAGCAAATGACAGTTGTTGCTTTGGTAATGAAGCAGTATAAGATGTAATCCATTTTCACTCGTGTGGAAAATCCATCAAAAATGAAAAAAAAAAATTATCAATAAAAAATTGGTGAACATATAGTAGATTGACCGACACATTAGGACAATGTGGAACATTTTTCATATAAAAAGCAAAGGAGTTGATTTGGAAAGTATTGAAACCAATATGAGAAATAGGCAAACTTTCAACAATTTTAGGCAACCTATCTATCTGAACTGTCAAACGAATTATGATTAGGAAGATTGGCAAGATATAAGTTATATGAGTCGAGACACCACTGTTAATTATCTAAGTTTGCTAATTCGAGGAGCCTAAAGATTTGGCCACCATAGTTTCCACATCCTCCATTCAAGTTTTTTGTGGC